TCATCTGCATATAATTTCCATGCATATTCCCATCCACGTGACACCATTTTTAACGCTGTTAGGGGTACAATACGTTAGGAAAATATGAGATACGGACTATAAATGCGTTTTGAGGCATCCCTATTCTAATTTATGCAATTTGCCTAAAAGGTAAACATATATTTTATAATGTTTATAGCCTATATTTTTATGGAAAAAGATAGGCCTTATTTTTTTGCAGTGTAATAGAGTCAATAACAAAACATTTTGAAAATAAAATGTGCATATCTTAAGAGTTTCCTTCAAATTCTATCTTTTAAATATGGTGTTTGTCACAATATTGGGAAGAGCACGAAAGGGGTTATCATGTGTGGAGCTAATTAATCAAAAACCATGGAAACTAATAGACACGGGAACTCAGGGAAGTGTGGAGACAGAAACGGAACCAGAACAGAACATAACCGTGACAGTTCGCCCCCTCCCAGAACGGCACGTCCTCGCGGCGACAAATAGTCCAACCGAGGGACGGAGGGAGGGAGGGTTGGTGGGTTTTCAGGAGGCGGGCGTGGGGCAGGCAATGGAAAAGGGGCACAGTTCATTGGGCCAGGGTGGAGTAGATTGAGAAGGAGCCAGGGAGAAACCCGGAGCAGGAGGAGTCAGGTGGGGAACCAGAGTCCAGTCAGGAAAGCGGGCCACGGTGGAGTCACCGGAGGGAGGAGCCATGGTGGAGTTCGGCCAGGCGACACCAGGGGGCCGACTGACGGCGATGACGCCGGTGGAGTAGGAGCCCAGGTTGGAGACAAGCAGCCGCAGAGCCAGGGTGACACTGAGGATCCAGAGGGCCTAGGCGGAGCCGGAGCGACAGAGAACGAATGTGGAGCCGGAGGGAGGAGCCAGAGGGACAGAAAGACATCAATCAAAGTGTGGACTGTACAATGGGTATTACGTCAGGGAAAGATTACACAAACTTGCTTGTCTGGCTCTCAACAACGGAGGAGTGGTCGCTGACACACGGTGAAGGGCGAAAAGCATATGGAACACGGTTAGTCTGTTACAATGCTCTGAAGACTGATGAGTTTATTATTTAAAAGAACAGCTGAACATCAGTTCATATATAAAATGTATTGTTAAAATTGTTACTGCCTTTTGTTATTATTTTGGAATAAATGTAAAATGCTTAAAAACACTAAACTGATGAGATTATTACTTGGTTTTAATAAATAGAATACTCTTTTAATTACATTTAGTCATTTAGCAGACACTTTTATTTTTTTATTTATTTTGTTTTTTTTAAAGTGACGTGACATGTGGCCAAGTGTGGTGACCCATACTTGGAATTAGTGCTCTGCATTTAACCCATCCAAAGTGCACACACACAGCAGTGAACACACACCCGGAGCAGTGGGCAGCCATTTATGCTGCGGCGCCCGCCCTGCCGGTACGAGACTCGAACCCGCAACCTTTGGGTTACGAGTCCGACTCTCTAACCATTGGGCCACAACTTCCCCAAGATGGAGCACTTCACGGATTTGCGTGTCATCCTTTCGCAGGGGCCATGCTAATCTTCTCTGTATCGATCCAATTTTAGTATATGTGCCGCCGTGGCAAATCAAATTACAAATTAGCACAATAGAAGCAATCAAAACCAAAAAAAAAAACAATAATATGCAAGTGCTGTGTATCATCTATGATATGAAAACATGTCTTCCATCTTTATTTGACTCTCTCTCTCTCTCTCTCTCTATATATATATATATATAAAGAGAGTGCTAGAGTTAGAGTGTCAAATAAAGATGGAAGACATGTTTTTAACCATTTCTTGAAGATAGCTAAGGACTTAGCTACTCGGATTGAGTTGGGCAGGTCATTCCACCAGGAGGGAACAGTTAATGTAAATGTCTGTGAAAGTGATTTTGTGCCTCTTTGGGATGGCACAATTATGCGCTGTTCACTTGCAGAACACAAGCTTCTAGAGGGCACATAAGTTTGAAGTAGAGAATCAAGATAAAGGGGTGCAGAGCCAGTGGCGGTTTTAAACCTTAATGCCTTGAATTTTATGCAAGCAGCTTTTGGTAGCCGGTGCAAATTGATGAACCGAGGTGTGACGTGCATTCTTTTCGGCTCATTAGAGATTAATCTAGCAGCCGCATTCTGGATTAATTGTAGAGGTTTGATAGAACTGGCTGGAAGACCTGCTAAGAGAGCATTGCAATAGTCCAGCCTGGACAGAACAAGAGATTGAACAAGGAGTTGTGTAACCTGTTCCGAAAGAAAGGACCTGATCTTCCTAATGTTGTATAAAGCAAATATGCAGGACTGGGCAGTTTTTGCAATGTGGTCTGAAAAATTCAGATGATCATCAATCACAACTCCCAGGTTTCTGGCTGTTTTTGAAGGAGTTATGGTTGATGTGCCAAACTGGATAGTGAAATTGTGTTGAAGTGATGGCTTTTGTTGAAACCACAAGCAGTTCTGTCTTGGCAAGGTTGAGTTGAAGGTGATGGTCCTTCATCCAGTAAGAAATGACTTATAGACATGCTGAGATGCAAACAGCTATCATCGGATCATCAGGATGGAATGAGAGGTAGAGTTCGATGTCATCAGCATAGCAGTGATATGAAAAGCCATGTTTCTGAATGACAGAACCTAGTGAAGCCATGTAGACCGAGAAGAAAAGTGGTCCAAGAACTGAGACCTGAGGCACCCCAAAGCTAGAAGTTGCGACTTGGATTTTTAATGACATTTTTAATGTAAAAATACAAAATAGATTTTTTATTCTGGTAGTGTAATTAATGTTTATTTAACCAAGAAAATGTGACTGGGACATGAGTTTACATTTAATAAAAAAAAAATATATATATATATATGAGGACTTTGTCTTCTAATTTCAGAACACCACTGCTCTTAGCAGTTAATTTCATGCAGATTGTTTAATGATTCTAAGGAAAAACAGAAAAAGAAACTCCTAAGACATGCATGCTCATAGAAGGCATTGCTAAAAGTCCAGTGCTCACAGGAAATTACCATATGATGTGACGTAAATGCAGTGAAGGTTCTTTATGTAAAATATCATGTCAGAAAGTGGCATAATATAACAGCAACACTTTACATTAATTTGCAGATGTCAGTGCATTGTAAATAATTCATATGAACTTCTAGCCTACATAAAAAGTTAAAATAGCATGCAGTACTTGTCATTGGTGGGACATTTAAAGGGATAGTTCATCCAAAAATAAAAAATCTAAAGATATTATTTTGAATGTTGGTAATCAAACAGTTATGGCTACCAATTGGCTTTCATTGTATGGAGAAAAAATTATGACATTTCTCAAAGAAATCTTATTTTATTTTTCAAAGGAAGAAAGTCATACATGTTTGGAAAGATATGAGGGCGAGTAAATTATGAAAGAAATAGTATACCATATTATATTAAAATGAAGCCAATTTAGTTTAAAGTAAAAAATACCATAGTAAATGAAAATGATACCATAGTATATGAAAAAGAAGCTAGTTTAATTAAAGTTAAAAAAAATCTTTCTTTTTCACACAATGTAAGCCAGCAATTTACACAAAACAATCTTCCTTACACACATAATATGATACAGTCAAGGTTTCATCTGCATAGTTAAACACCATCAAAAGACTACACTTAAAAGCCAAACATCTGTCATGCACTGATGTACTTACCGTTAAAGGTGGCAGTGCATGCATGCAGAAGTATAATGGAAAACAAGATAGTTTTGACCCCCATGAGTACCGATCAGGGGTCACTTCCTAACTGAAGATGAATCTCTTTACAGACAGTGCTTCTTCACTCTCTGAGCACTCAGTCTTTTCTGTGAGGAGAGGCTCAGATTTATACAGTATGGTGACATCACTGGATCGTACACCCTCCACTGAACCCAGATTCATTCCTATTCATTGCTACAGCGCGAATGAGAAATCGAGCTGTAATTGACAGACATCACAGCTCCGAATGAGAGATAGACGAATGATGATTTATTTTGTTGTCTTCCCTAAAGCTCCAAAATGATTTCATTATATAATGCCTTGACATGCCCAAAGACCTGCCTTTATACTGTATTCAGTATTTTCAGTTTATTTGGCTGCCAGGACAACTTTGTCATTTTTGTAGTTTATATGACCGTTAGTATATTTAAAGGGTTAGTTCACCCAAAAATGCAAATTCTGTCATTAATTACTCACCCTCATGTCGTTCCAAACCCGTAAGGCCTTCGTTCATCTTCAGAACACAAATTAAGATATTTTTGATGGAATCTGAGAGCTCTCAGACCCTGCATAGACAGCAGCGTTTTCCCCCTGAACGTAAACAACGCTGATTATGTTGATTACGTTCTTGGGTACTCTCCACAATGGCGAAAGACGTAACTCAGGGGAGAAGAATTTTTGTTTTCTTTGCACTTAAAAAGTATTCTAGTAGCTTCGCAAAACTGAAGTTGAGCCACTGATGTCAAGGTAGTATTTCCCCTCCTCACTGCTGCTTCCAGTGGCTAAACGAACACAGTGGTACAACAAGATGCCATTTGTTGGTGCAAAGCACATTACAAACTCACTCAGCACACCGATAGCCATAATCACAGCTCTCCTTCGCTTGTCTGGGTATGATGTTGCCAAGTGATCATTCTTGGTAGTGAGCACATATATTATGGTAGAGTAACTCACTAAGGTGATGACCAGAGGCAAGAAGAAGTAGAGGCAGGAGAGGATGGAGAACAGATATGCATACACCTGTGTGTGATACAGCACATCATGGCAGGTGATGCCCACATCCTTTATCTTGAATGTTTGTGTTATGGAGAGAAGTGGCACTGTACCAGCGAGCGCCAGCAGCCAGACCAGCACACACTTACATGTAGCTTTCCTTGCGCTCCTCCAGGTCAGAGAGGCGATGGGAAACACCACGGCCAGCAGCCTGTCCACACTCATGCTCATCATCAGCAGTATGGAGCAGTACATGTAGCAGTAGTAAGCTGCACTGAGCACACGACACGCCGCCTCACCGAACACCCAATCTGAAGCATTCAGCTGGTAGTGGATCTTCAGAGGCAGCAGCAGGGTAAAGAGCATGTCCACACATGCCAGGTGAGACATGTAGATCACAGCTGGTTTCTTCTCTCGAATCTTACAGGTGAACGTCACTAGGGCCAAAGCATTCAGGGGAAAACTAATGAGGATGATGATGATGTAAAATGAGGGCATGAGGCGTGTGACCAGCAGGCCTCTGAGGAAGAGAACAGTGTCTGCTGTGATATTATATGCATCCTGTGAAGTCTTGTTGCAATTCACTGCATCCAAATCAGTGCTGTTACGTGGCTGTCTAAACTGAATAATTTCTTCAATGACTTTGAAAATGCGAGCAATGATTGAATCTGTAAACAAACATGCAAACATGAATAAATAAATAAAAACAACAACAACAACAGTGAAACTTCTCAACACAACCAGACAAATATAGGTGAATAGAGGGCTTTTCACACTTGAAATTGTTAACTCTTAATCATTCTAAACCCCGGGTAATCGGAATCCTGGGTTACCTTGCTTCGAGTTTCACACTGCATTGTACATTCCTAAACCCTGGGTAAAGGTTCTTATTTGCATATTCGTTGGACGAACGAAGCTCGCGACCTGTTTACATAATGGCTCTAGCAGTGAGCATTATACTCTAAAGTTTTCCAGAACAGATGTTTTGGAATTTAAAGGTAAGAATGAAGAGCTCTTCGCTTGATTTTACGCGTTTTCCGCCACAATTTACCATTTTCCCCTCAAATGCTGACACTACTGTTTATAGAATTCTGTGACTGTCCAAAGCACACGACTGCGTGTTGCCAATTATCTAGAAATAACATTTTAACATAGCATCGTTTCACACTGTACAAGTTTGACACCACAGAATCCCTGCTAAGTCCTGCTCCGGGTCAAAGTTTCATAACTCGAGGTAAAAACGCCTCAAGGTTACGTATGCAACCCTAGTTCCCCAAGAGAACGAGACGCCGTGTCGAACGCTTTGGGAATGCTTTCAGCGTGACCACGCTCTGAATCACATGTGTAATCAGTCCAATATACGGGCGAGACGTCACGGACGGGGTGATGTAGTGACCAGGAAGCTATAAAAGCACGTGCGGTGGAAACAGCGGCAGCTTCTGGTAGAATGAGGGAAGCGCTCGCAGGGATGCCGGAAGTATGGCAGGAGACACAGCGTCTCGTTTCCTCGGGGAACTAGGGTTACATACATAACCTTGAGGCGTTCCCCTTCAGGAACTTGAGATGCGTCGAACGCATTGGGAACGAGAATGCCCACACCGCCAGACTTCCAATCCTTGCGTAGTGTGTATGTACGTAGCACAACTACGAGAGGAAGAGGACGGAGGAACCAGGAGCAGTACGAACGTCGAGGTCATAGAACCTGACAAAAGTGAGCGGTGTAGACCAACCCACAGCGTTACAAACATCCTGCATAGCCACACCCGACAGGAAGGCCTTGGAGGCCGCCACACTTCGGGTAGAGTGAGCCTTGACCCCCAAGGGCGAGGGGAGACCAGAGGACTCATGCAACATAGAGATGGCATCAACGATCCACCGACTGAGGGTCTGCTTAATAGCAGGCAGACCTCTCTTGGAAGGACCATAGCAAACAAATTATTGGTCAGACTTCCTCCACATGGCAGCTCTGTGGAGGTATGTGTCCAGTGCTCGCACTGCCCATGCAATTAAGCTTCTGCTGGTCAGGGTCCCGAAAGGGAGGAGGACAGAAGGCCTGTAGTACGACGGGCCGTGGTACAGAGGAGGGCACTTTAGGGACGTACCCCGGCCTGGGGTACAGAAAAGCTTTGACTTTGGCCACTGACAGGGCCTGCAGGTCTCCTACTCTTTTCAGCGATGAAATGGCTAATAGGAAGTGAGTCTTAAGTGTCAGAACTCGATCTGAAACCTCCTCCAGTGGTTCAAATGGAGGTTTGCAGAGAGCCTCTAGCACCACAGCCAAATCCCACAGAGGGACACGAGATCGTACCGGAGGCCTTAGCCTCAGCGCACCATGGAGGAAACGTGTAACCAGGGGGTGTCTTCCCACAGACTGACCACCAAGAGGGGCGTGGTAAGCAGCTATGGCCGCCACGTACACCTTCAAGGTGGAGTGGGTCAACCCCGCAGAGAATCGAGCCTGCAGGAACTCCAGCACTGAACCAACCGGGCAGCTAACTGGGTCGAGCTGGCAGTCTCCACTTCAGGGCATAGAGTTTCCTAGTTGAGAGAGCTCTGGATTGGAGGATGGTCTCAACAACCTCAGTTGTTGAATGAGTCAGAGAGGACCAGAGGGGACGGTGCGATGTCTCCTGAATCGCAAACAGATCCACCTGAGTGTGGCCAAACATTCTCCAAATCTGACACACCACATCTGGGTGGAGTCTCCATTCCCCGGGCCCGGGCCCCTGCCTCGACAGGATGTCTGCTCCCTGATTGAGATGCCCAGGGATGTGCACTGCTCTCAGTGAGAGGAGTTTCCCTTGGGCCCACACAAGGATCTGGTGCGCCAGCCTGTACAGGGGGCGCGAACGCAGACCTCCCTGGTGGTTGATGTAAGAGATCACCACTGTGTTGTTGGTGCACACCAACACATGATGGCCTCTCAGGTCTGGGAGAAAGTGTTTCAGTGCTCGAAACACGGCCAACATCTCCAGGCAGTTGATGTGCCACGTAAGATGGCGGCCGCTCCACAGACCGCGGGCAGGGTGGCCACTCATGACTGCAACCCAACCGGTGAGGGACGCGTCCGTCGTTAACGTTACGCGACGACAAGGAGCTCCCAGCACCGGGCCCTGTGACAAGAACCAAGGTTTCCTCCACATGCCTAAGGCACGAAAGCATCGCCGCGTGACCTTGTTCATGTAAATGCGGATTTCCCCTCGGGGTAAACCCCTTGGTCTTGAGCCACCACTGTAGGGGTCTCATGTTCAGCAGGCCAAAAGTGAGTGACCGGCCTTCTCTGACTCTCGCGACTGCAGTGAGGATCGACTTGATCTGTGCCTGCATCGTGGTCGAATCCCACACCACGCCCAGATAAGTGGTCCTCTGTGATGGAGAAAGCACACTTTTCTTGGCGTTTAGTCTTAACCCCAACTCATTTATATGGGTGAGAATGACATCTCGATGCTGAACCACCATCTGCTCCGATTGAGCTAGAATCAACCAATCGTCGACATAGTTGAGTATGCGGATGGCCTGGAGTCGCAGTTGAGCCAGAGCAGCATCTACACACTTCGTGAAAGTTCGGGGTGAGAGTGCAAGGCCGAACGGAAGAGCCTGATATTGGTAAGCTTCGTGCCTGAAAGCAAACCGCAGGAACTTCCTGTGTTGAGGAAGGATGGAGACATGGAATTATGCAACCTTTAGATCGATTGAGACAAACCAGTCCTCGGACTTGATCTGAGACACCACTTGCTTGAGTGTGAGCATCCTGAACTTCAGTCACATGACTGAGCGGTTCAACTGACACAGATCTAAAATAGGACGCAACCCTCCATCCTTCTTCAATATATTTTTTTATTATTATTATATTTAAAAATCTGTCATTTAGGATCTATTTGGTCTTTGTCCCTGCAGAAAGTTTCTTTTGATTCCACCTGCAGGACCCAACGTGAGATATTCGGCAGAAGTTTCCACACTGCCAGAAAATCTACTAAGGTAATCAGTCTCTTGAGACTGACCTCCGGTGTAATAGGAGTGGCCCATTCGGTGCCCTGAAATGGCGGACCGGCAGATAATGACCGAACTAGCCGAATGACAGAAGCTGCCGCTGTTTCCACCGCACGTGCTTTTATAGCTTCCTGGTCGCTATGTCACCCCGTCCGTGACGTCTCGCCCATCTATTGGACTGATTACACACGTTATTCAGAGCGTGGTCACACTGAAGGTGTTCCCAAAGCGTTCAACGCAGCTCGCGGTCCTGAAAGGGAACCCGGGTTTAAGCGCAGTACATGTGAAGGTCCTTAAGATGATGCCGTTGAACTAAACAATTCATACTACAACAAATATTTCGTTTACAGTAAAAATACTGGTAGCATTCTGTCAGAACCTATGTTTTCTGTGTGACTTCTAGAGTTGTTTGTTTCACCTGTGATTCGTTATAACGTTTAAAACAGAGAACCAAAATCCTCTAAACACCCAAACACTGGCCAGTCACTTATGTACAATCTGCATATGTGCTCTTCCATTTTGGAATATTTGATTATGAACTGTAGTAATGATCTCACAACACATGATGTTGTAAACTTTTTCTGGAGGTCTGTAAACTTTACCTGGAGGCTCTGGTATGGAATAGTTTATGGATAAGGTTTCAGAATAGTTTCTGAAATATGCTCCAGGATATTCTTCAAAATAGTCTCCAGAATAATCTCCATACAACACTCCATCCAAAAAGGAATCATTTTCTGTTGTGTCATAGGTCTCTGTCGTAACAGTGAAATTGCGTTCAGAGCCATCTGTAACCAAACAAACAAAACTTTAAGTTTTGATGGCATTACCAGACAAATAAAGGTAACTGTGACACATTTGCTAAGAAGCCTTGACGAACATGTTTATCTTAATAATAACTCCAGTCAAAACACAGGGCCATCTACTGTAAATAGTACTGTTAGCAACCTGTCTATTGTAACTGAGTAAATGCAGCATTTTTTTATCTGCCTGCATAAATGTAAAAACTTAATTAATCTGTTTCACCCCAAGTTTAATGGTGCTGTATTGAGTTAAACATTAAAAAAGTCATATATAATATGAATTCAAGCAAATTAACAAGCCATGAAAGCCATAGCAATTTTAATTACTGATGCACTTACCACATGTATGCACAAATATAATAGAAAGCAAGAGAGTTTTGACCCCCATGAGCACTGATCAAATCTAACTCTAGACTTTAAAGTCATCAAATGTCAGAATCTCTAGATGGACAAACACCCGTGCTGCGTCTGTCACTGAGTGCCCAGTCTCTTCTGTGTGGTTATGCCAGGATATGATACAGACAATTTTCAACTCTTCAGTGAAAGGAGGTGTTTCAGAAAAAGTTGAGTACCACTCTCAGGAGGTCTAGAATGTTCACCATTCCTGTTTAAATGCAGTTTCAAATATGAATTTGTGTGATTTTGATGAACACAAGAAATAAACATTAAATCAACATAAAAATTAAATAGATCATAAGTTACAACTAGCTAGAACTAACTAGCTAGGTTTACTTTTGTGTTAGATAACAGTTTATCAAAGTTATCTAATAGTTCCTTAAAAAGAACAGTCAGAATTTATCCATAGTGAACAAAGTAAACCAACAGGATTAATTTATTACAGCTTCTGTGCATCGTGTTATTCTGTGCATCAAGAAATCTTTACATGGACTCTATTTCACACAATAATCTGAAAAAATCAAGACTAATTTCTTTGAAAATCATCTGGCCTTCCCTCATTTTACATATCATTGATATGATATATTTTCCAGTATTCAGCAACATTACTAAAGAATGTGAATTACACTGTGAACTACAATCACAGACTCCAGACATTTACATATAGAAGTCTTAACAGTACCTTATCAAAAACCATGCTGAATTGAGGCAAAGAGAGTGTGAAAAATATGTGACATGTGACTTTAACAAATGGAGAAATAAAGCATTATCTAAATATTGCAAAAGACATCTATGACTTGACAACTGTTACATGTCCCTTCTGCTTTTGATCTGATCAACTCTACAAGCAGTAGCATTTTAACAATTGATGCAAGATGTAAATTTAGAATAATACATGTTTAATGTAATATATTGAAAAAGCCAATTATGGAAACGCAATTTTTTCACACTTTACTGCAAGCCGGGTTTAAGTGAGAGATGTGGATTTTGTCTGTGTTAGTTGGTGATTTTAGTTTTTCTGCCTTTTCCCTCCTCAACACAGAGTGGATCTGCTGTCTGCATTGAGATGAGCCGTAGTAGTAGAGCAGAGGATCCAGAAAAATACTTGAGCTCCCCAAACACACAGCCAACAGATAAGCTGCATATGATGAATCTCCCTCCCCGCTGTTGAATCCAACAGCTAAAAGAAAACACTGGTACAGGTGAACGACACTAAGGCCAAAGCATTTAGGGGCAAACTAATGAGGATGATAAAGATGTAGAATGAGGGCATGACACGTGTGGCCATCAAGCCTTTTAGGAAGTCAGTAGACTCGTCTATATGCATATGTGTCAGGGGTTGGTGCAGCTGTGTGATTATACAGTATGCCGCTGCATCTGGAGTTCTGCTATTATTCAATGCTTGAGATGTCTGATTATAGCCTAAAAACCCACCTGGAGGAGGTGAAAGGCAGTCAGGAACTGTAAACAAGATAAAACACCATGAGACACTAACCAACAGACACTAACAAAATCGGCTTTAACACATAAACAGCTACATATGTTGAATGACTCAGGGAATGGTGAAGTTTGGTGATTAAGTCACTGCACCCTGAATATTACAACCTGAAAATTTAACTATTTATGAGAGGCAATTTTGAATGAATTTATACAATTATTACAAAAAAGTTAGTGTGCACCCCTAAACATAACTGTCAGTGTTATTGCCAATTTGCCATGAGATTGTGTTGCATATTGCTCTTATGTGTTGATGAAGATTTCAGATTAATGCTGTTTCTGTAGTAAGATGGAGGAGGCGGAACACAGCCAGAATCTGTAATCAATACAAAAGACCATTAGTGAAAGCTCTCATGATACCATCAGACAATAATTAAGAGGAGGACACATTTGCAAAAAGGCTTTGATGGAGATGATGTAATATTGAAGGAATTCAAATTCAGCTTCAGGACATTTGTATTGCATAAATACACTTTAGATGTGCAGATAAACACACAACCTTCACACACACACACACACACACACACACACACACATGCGGATATTCAATCATGCCCATTTTATTACAAGTGTCATTAGATAAAATGGTGCTCATAAGGGATGCTATGTGAAATATGATCTACAGCAAATGGAAATGTTCAAATGAAACCTACACCACTGATCGGAAATAACAATAAAGTGCTTTATTGTGAAATATACTTCCTTCACTGCAAACAAAATCCATCAATGATAAACAGATTTCATATACTAACAACCCACACACAGCTGTGACTTTCTTAATATGAATAAATTAAAATGAATAAACTATCTATTAAATTATTAAATTATTTCTATCAGACATCTATATTATATACAGCATAGTGTTGTGATTGTTAACTAAAACTAGCATTAAAACTATTAAAAATAATTTTTATACTGAAATGAAGCTGGAATAAAACAAATCAAAATCAAATGATAAAATCAAATGAAATAAAAATATTAGATAAATAATGTAAGCTGAACTGGAAAAAAGAAGTAAGTAAAACTGACATAAAAAATAAAGATAAATATAAAAATATAATATATTTCAAAATAATAATAAATACTATAATAGTATATAAATAATACTAAAATAACACTTGTAAACATCAGCAAGACATATCTGACACAAGTCTTGGCATTCAAAATGATTAGAATATTTTTAATGGCATTGAATGAGGCATGTATGCACAACTGTAATTAAAAAACAAGACAGTTTTCACTGATTACCAATCAGCTGTCAGTTTCTCTGAAACTCACTAAAATGTACTTTAGAACAACCAAAAATTGTAAAATTTTAATAAGCCTGACAGACAGGCACAGCCGCTCAGTGTAGTTCTTGATTTTTAGATTGTGAAAATGTTGAATCACTCGAGCCTTCAGCCTTAATCAAATTAAATAATTAAGAGATAAATTATGAATGATGATGGTTCTTTGGGTGTGTCTTCTGAAGCTCTATGTTTTCTTTTTCATACTGGATGTTGCATCTCCATGGAAAAAAAGGGTGCAAACTTGCTCAGTCTGTGTGTTTGTGAGAGTATTGTCTTTTCAGACATGTGAAGGAATACAACAGAATAAAATATAGTTTTAATAGGTCTAATAAATGCAAATTACAGACAGATAAGGAACATTTTATTTATTTATTTTTCAGGGCTTTACTGAAAACATTTGGGGCTTCATTCAATCATCCTGTTTGGGTGTGTCTTCTGAAGCTCTATGCACTGTTTTCTTTTTCATACTGGATGTTGCATCTCCATGGAAAAAAAGGGTGCAAACTTGCTCAGTCTGTGTGTTTGTGAGAGTATTGTCTTTTCAGACATGTGAAGGAATACAACAGAATAAAATATAGTTTTAATAGGTCTAATAAGTGCAAATTACAGACAGATAAGGAACATTTTATTTATTTATTTTTCAGGGCTTTACTGAAAACATTTGGGGCTTCATTCAATCATCCTGTATAGCATCCTGCACTCAAATGATTCAAATTATATACACAGACATATAAAATATAACATAATATATGTAACACATTAACAAACAAGTTTAAAGTGAGATTAAAGATAAACAAATAGAACAAATAATTAGATAAAAACTTTAAAGATCTTTAAAAACATTTTACAAATGACCTATTTTCATGACAAGAACAGGGTAAAATCAAAACAAAAACAGGTGTATAAACAAATTAAACATTTAAAGGGAGATTAACAACAGACAGACCAGATATCAGAAATCAGATTAACTTACATATCGGAAAAATACAATAATAAGATGACGAATGAAATAAGAGGTGGAAAAGATTATATTTTCTATTTTTTGGTCTATTTTCATGGCAAGAACAGAGTGAACTCAACTTAAAAGCCAGTTCTTTTTCATCTTTTGCAGTGGTGTGTCAGTTGGAAATATCAGTTTATGCAATTTATGCATGTTTATGCAATTTTCTTTATCATTTAACATCTATTAACTAAATTAAATACACATTTGGTGTCACCACCCTTTGCTTTTAAAAACAGCTTTTGTCCTACATACACTGTAGTGCATAGTTTTCCAGGTAGCTTTGGAGGTAGGTTTCTTCAAGTGTCTTGGAGATGTTGCCACAGTTCTTCTGGATTTAGTCTGTCTCAGTTTGTTCTGTTTCTTCATGTTATTCCAGACAGACTGGATGATGATGAGATCAGATCTCTGCGTGGAGCACTGGCTGTTATCAGACTGTTTGTGCATACAAAACTCTCGCTGGATTATCACAATTAATGGCAAAAGGAATGTTTGGAAATGTAAACTGATATTTCCTCCTGAAACACTACAGCAAAAGATAGAAATATCTAGCTTAAAACTATTTTTTGCTGATTAAAATAGCCTACTAATGACCTGAAACTTATCACAGTATTAGACTATATAATAATTTCAGTTTGGTACTTCGGAGTGCGTATCACAAATCATTTGACTCAGATCGGAACTAAGCGGGTTTCAGATCGGAAATTCGGAGCGTGTATCATGAATCATTTGATTTAGATGGGAACTTCAGAGCGAGTTTGCGAATCATTTTATTCAGATTTTATAAAGCAGCACTATGTAAC